GCGAGTGACTCTCACCGATGATTCCTTGAGGTTACCCACCCACTGTAGCGGTCTGTTATCAGTATGGACCTTAAACTTCCGGCCAAAAATGTACGGTCTAAAATGGCCTACCGCCCATACTATGCCCAAAAGTTCCCTTTCCAGGGCGCTATACCGCGTCTCCGCGTCCGTGAGTCGCCGACTGGCATACGCTACTGGCTGTTCTCCATTGGCTCCTTCTTGAGCAAGGACCGCCCCCAACGCATACTCACTTGCATCTGTCGTTATGATGAATGTTTTCGCAAAGTCGGGAAAAGCAAGTACCGGCTTCTCCTGTAACCTTGCCATGTACTTCTTTACGTTGTCCTCAATCGCTGGTGTTATCGTCATCTTCCGGCCTTTCTTCAGAAGATTGTTAAGAGATGCTAAGTACTCCGCCATCTCCGGCACAAACCGCCGGTAATTGTTCAGCGTTCCCAATAATCTACGGATTCCTTTAACGTCTCTGGGCATCGCCATGTTCTGTATTGCTTCTACTTTTTGTTTATCCGGCCTGATCCCCTCCTTCGAAACCGAGTGTCCAAGAAATGTTATCTCTTCTTGTCCCAGAATCGACTTTTCCACCGACAACTTCAGCCCGAATTGTCTTAATCTATCGAATACTCGACGCAGATGACCGACGTGTTCCCCTTCATCCTTGCTGAAGACCAGGAGATCATCCATGTACACTTGACAAAACGCTTCGTCCAGTCTCCTCAAAAATTCATCCATAAACCTCTGGAAGGTTATGGGAGCGTTCTTTAACCCGAATGGCATGCGAGTAAACTCGTTATGTCCCCTTTCGAAGGAAAATGCCGTTTTGTGCTGGTCCCTGGGGTTCATACGTATTTGATGATAGCCTGCCTTCAGATCCAGGGTACTAAATATTGTGGCTCCGCTCAATCTGTCGATAATATCGTCAAATCGCGGAAGTGGGTACTTCTCGTCCAGGGTGTTCTCGTTGAGCTTCCTGAAGTCAACAACCACTCTATACTTCTCTTCTCCCGTTGCGGCCTTCTTCTTCACTGCCCACAGAGGACTATTGTATGGTGATGTGCTGTCCACAATGATGCCTTGACCTTTCAAGTTCTCCAGCTCTTCCTTGATATGTTGCCGTAGAGCTTGTGGGTAACGTCTCTCCTTTACATACGTCACCTTCTCCTGTTTCAGCGGAATCTCATGTGCCGTCCTCCCTGTCGCGCTCAACACCTCCCCATCTTAAAAAAAAATAACCGCGTACTCCCTCTTTATCCTCTGTACCCAATGTTCCGCCTGTTCTATTGCCCCAACGTTCTGTTTCCTTTCCACTCTTAATTTCTTACACCGGTACCTCTTCCCTCCCATTCGAACAATCCAGCGCGTATCCCTGTAATCTATTCTCGGCCTCACTCTACTTAATAGGTCACATCCTATTAAACCCCCGTACTCCCTCGGCATGTTTTTCACCACGTGAACCCTCAATTTCCCACTTCTGGTTACCCATCTGTCTAAATCTAATTCTACTTCCCCTTCCACTCTACATGGACCACCCAAAGTAATCAACCTACACTTACAGTCTTTTATCTCCGGTATCCTCTCTCCTTTACACAATTCTTTTAACATTTTTCTACACACTATTGTACTCGAACTACCCGTATCTACTAAACACTTCTCTCTCCCCACAACACTTATAATTGGCAAACCAACGCACTCACCTCCAATATTATTTATTACCGCGTGGTCGCCGCTCCTCTGCCACTTTTCTCATTCATCCGTTCTTCCTCTCCTTCCTGCAGCTGCTCCTCTTTCTCCGCTCTTCCCGCTGATTCTGCCTCCTCGAGCCCCTTTTACTACCGTCTCCTCTTCTTCGGTTCCCGATGTTCCCGATGAATCGTCTGACTCCGATGTCGATCCTCTCTTCCTCCACAATCTCTGTGCGTTTACTTCCATCGGCTCATCTCTCCTCATGTCTCCACGTCTACTCATGTACGGACATTGCCTCGCGATGTGTCCTTCATTTCTGCATTCAAAACATCGAGTCCGAGGACAATTCGCCACTAGATGACCTACCTTCCCACACCCATGGCATTTCCTGTCTTCTTTTGCCCATTTTCTTCTTTCTCTGCCTGGCTTTTTCTCTTTCATTGCCGTCCTCTCTCTCGCGCTAAAATCCCCTCTTTTCCTCCACACCTCCGGTCTCCCTCCTTTGAATCTCCCAGATTCCGCTCTCCTATACGCCACTCTGGTCCACCCATTCTCATTCTCAGTTTCGTCACCCCGGGCTGCTTCTTCCTCCCGGGCACTTGCGTCAATCATATCCTGGGCACATTCCACGAAACTCTTCTCCCTCGGGAGCCCGTCCTTCTTTCCCGTGTCCCGACCCAGCTGAACTTTAAGTATGGTTGATAGGAAGGCCATCCTGGCCCCTGTTTCGGCCGCACCTGCTACTTCCCTGGACTTCTCGGTTACATTATTAAACCGTGCCAATAGGTTCGCTGCATACTGTCCATTCGTCTGGTGAGGTTGTTTCCTTTCTCGGAACATCTGCAGGATATCCTCTTCTGGGGCCCATCGGCCCCCTCCGAATGCTATCTTCAGTCTATCCTTCACGGTACTCCATGGAGTGTCCTCATCTGCCTGGATCATGTTCAGCACGCTCCTCTGAACCCGGCATACCAGAGCTGCCTTCAACGCGTTAGCATCCATCGGGTCTATTAAATTTTCCTCCTCTTTAGCCAGAGAGGAGGAACAATACGCGACATCACCCGATCGCCTCCCTTTAGGAAGTGATTCAACTCCCCTACTCCTCCGTCGAACCTTTCTAGATCGGATATCGCTCTCCTGAGGTCCTGTGATGTCCCTGTTCTCACCTTCAGCCATTCCAGCGTCGTCGCATGTGCCGACGCCAACGTCTCCGTGAGTAACGGAGGAAAATCTGCCGCTAACGCTTCCGACAGTGGAGGAAACGCCGGTGGCGGAGCCAATGGTGCAGCCGGTGGTGCATTCGGTTGTGCGACCTGTGGTGTAGTCAGCGTTGGTGGTTGATTCGGCATCCTTTCTCTTTGTTATTTCCTTGTAAATAAAAAGAGCGGGAGAAAAAGAAAAAAGAAAAAAAACTGTCTCCTCGACACAATCTAAAGGTCCCGGGTTTCGGCACCACTTACGATCGTTCGAACGGAAAATAATAAAAAAAAGAACAATAAGAAGGATAGAAAGAAATAAGGACATGAAAAGACACACACGGTTGCTCGATAATGACTGCCTTTATTTTCCCAGTAATGCTATATATATAGTATTATGTCTTGTTTACATGATAAGACTAGGATTAACTATTATACAGTCTTACCTCTAACCATAACCTATATATATATAAACAATGTTGTAATTAATGTTATAGCTCTGATTCTAAGAATTGAAAATGGGTGAATTTGGACAAAACATTGTCACATGTGAAAATGAGATAAAGTACAATTAAGAGATGTAAACTAAAAAGTCCTATCTGAAATAGAAAAATATATATATTTTTTCCTAATTGTCCATAATTGTTGACCTACAAACACTGCGAGTGATTTAAGTCAACTACGCATACCGTTAAATAATCAAACAATATGTGTTCTCTTTTTACATTTTCACGATTTCAACAAATCGAATTTAAGATAGCACATCCATCATCCATAGGTGATGTCCATCATATGGATTTGACAAGAGATACAACTTAAAATTTAAATAAGGCCCCATTATCAAGTGGAATGTTTAAAACCTAGTGGAGGGAGGGCACGGTAGCGACAGTTTCCATTTAATTGCCTATAATTTCGTTATTATACCAATTACCTGGAAGAAAATTTGTTTTTTACAGTAAAGTGTACATTCGACTACATATGAATACTAAAACTTTGTCTTAAATACAATCGTTAACCCATGGAAGCAAAGTAGACAAATAAAAATTTAAAAAACGCTGCAAATTATTACACAATGGTTTATTATTTCCAAACAACTTAACATCAAAATTTACATTACTTTCCTTGTAACATAAATAAAAATAAATAAGAGGTGGTTCTTAATATTGGCCTAAATATTTTTTTTTCATCATTGATAATTTGCTAAAAAAATAGACAACATTGCTTTTATTCTAAAACTTTCAAAAAATGATAAAACAAAACAAAAGATATAAGCTTTGCAGCAGAATATATTCTTTAGAACATTTCTTCATATTAAAAACTTCCTTCTCTATGAAACCCAACATCTATTCAGGGTAGATTAGTACCAGAAATGGGCATATTTATATTCAAAAATATAAATAGGAATACCATTTATATTTATGACACTTTTGAATATAAATATGAATATATTCATATTCATAAAAAGAAACATGAATACAGATGAAACGTATTCATAGCTGTAAATATAAATACGGCCGTATTCACCACTTTAAAAGTGAATACCGCTGTATTCATGTTTATTAAAATGAATACGCTTAAATTTACAGAAGTGAATGGAAATATTTTCACACAAACATTTTCTGCTTGCGGGCTGAAGCCCCCCAAAATGGTAAAATATAACCATATTTTACAGAAAAAAATATTAAAAACTATCTCTTAAAGTATTCTTCTTCGTGTAATAACATTTAATAGGAATTCAAGAACCACTTAAACACCATTTCATATAAGTACTTAATTTTCATATATATATGAAAAAAAAATCTTTCGGGTTGAAGCTTCTCCCAAAATTAAATCCTGGATCCGCTAGTGGATCAATTCAAATAATCTTAACGTATTCATAACTATAATTTAATGTTTAATATAATTAAACGTTTATGTATGCATCATTTCGAGTTAGCAAATATCAACTTTTTAACATTATTCCATTATTTTTTAAGAGATTTATTTAATAAACCCCTTACATTCCAGAACTTTATTTTAATTTTTGCATACTTTTTTTGTTTTGTTTTGGAAAATACCTAAGGTAACAAATAAATTAAAATTTATTCAATAAATAACACTATTCGTTCATAAGGCTGTGTGAAAATATTTCCATTCGTTTCTGTAAAATTTAAGCCTATTCATTTTAATAAACGTGAATACAGCCGTATTCACTTGCACAACTGTAAATACAGCCGTATTCACTTTTAACGTGGTAAATACGGCCCTATTTATATTTACAGCTATGATTACGTTTCATCTGTATTCATGTTTCTTTTTATGAATATAAATATATTCATATTTATATTCAAAAGTGCTATAAATGATAATGGTATTCGTATTTATATTTTTTATTATTTTATTTATATTTATGTACTAACTTAGTACAAAACACGTGTTCTAGCTACGCCTCCGTCGGCTGTGGCATATTTGGTCTTCCACAGCTAACAGATAATTTATTTAAATAACTTTTTTGTTCGTAACATAAAACTCATTGAAGGCCTAAATAAATAAAACAATTCCTTAATTGTTGAGGACCCATGTCCTCAGTCATGCGATCTTGCAGCAGCAGCAGCGATGACCTTTATCGCCTCGAAGAATTCTTTACCGGTTGGAATGATTTGCGATGCTGGTAACAGAAATCCATGTTTTCCCGTGTCCCTCAGTTCAAAGGTGTAGGAATATTTAACACCTGCCACTGCTTTTGCCCAATCAGCCGAGCTGCCTGAAAATTGTTTAATCAGGTCAATATTATTGTTAACTCGCCTTAAAGTTATGCAATATATCATTTGTCGTTTATAAACTTTTGAATAAAAACATCCGGTGCGGTGTGCGCATCACACAACTTTCACTTACCACTCTTCTTAGCAGAAATAAGTATTTTCAGAATAAGGGGTAGTGAAAGTAAAAATTATAAATGTCATATTTATTTATATTTCATTCTTCTTCTTCTTCGTTCTTCGCTCTATATGGCTATTTCGGAAAGTAAAAATATAAAATTATTATTATTATATTTCATTGTGAGTATTTTATGTTAATGTTTACGTTAAACACTTTGTTCAATATTGGGGGGCCCGGTACATGCCATATGACCGGGAGCCCTTTTCTTGAGAGATACAAAATAAAGAAATGTTTTAGAGAGGAATACTTGTGAATATATGTGTAAAAGTTTACGTACAGTTTGATGAGGGGGCCGGTCTCGCGCCTCCTCTCTCTCTCTCTCTCTCTCTCTCTCCGCCGTTCTGGGTCCAGAAATTAGCCGAAGGGCTGTGGTTCTGGAGTTCTGGTCAGAAGATGGGTCGTCAACAGTCCTTTTGCCTACTTCGCTCGCTAGCATCTGCCCTTTGGCCGCAGATAAGGCCGTCTTAGAGAGGGGGTAGTGCAAGTTGAGACCGGGGTTCCCCCCGTGTTGTTTATACAACGATAATTTAAATGCTCTATACAATAACATTTTGGATGTAAATCCAACACACCTTAATTAGTACAGCTGACGACCTCGACGATGCAGTCAATGACCTAACGAAAAGTATACAAGAGGCTATTTGTCATTCAACGAGACCACCAAAGACATACACTAAACCAGCTTCTTACCTACCTCAGCCAATGCATAATCACAACAGCACAACAGTAAAATCCTACATCCACGACAAATACACTGCATTTCATTCTTCAACCCAAAATCACTCCAATCCTCTGGTTCTTTCTATCTCCTGCTCCCTGTTGCCTGAACAAGGCAGATTAAAAAGAAAATGGCCAAGAGACCTACTATACCAATAAAAACCATATCAAGCAAATACACCGAGACTATACAAATACAACAAATTTGCTAGATGCGCAGCCGCGCAGGTGCAAATTGCATAAAATTAAATAAATAAATAAATTTTTATATTTCTGTAACCTATACAATTAAACATTAAATAATACCAAAGATAGCATTTATGAAAACTATATATGCATATGTACATAATATTCGTCCGTATTATGAAAGCGTGTTCTAATCTTTCGGGCGCACTCGTATTCCTTTGGTTCCTCCATTACAACTATTCTCAGTTACGATCTCTTCTTTCTCCTTTAGTTAATTATCAAATTCTTTCATTTTTTATATTTAACTGTTTTTTACATAAGAGATTAATACCAAATGGTTAATTATTTCAAATAAAAAAAAAATTGAATGTACATTATAGGAATACATTTTGAAAAAATCAATATTTAAGCACTGTCCGGTTGCATCAATGAGGATAAAACCTACCGTAAATTTAAACCACTAGCTAATACACTTACCTAGTGAGTTTAAACAAAATTCGTTAGAGCCGTTTTCGAGTAAATCGTAAAAATGTATAAAATCGATTATATAAAGGTTAGATAATTTCGACAAAAAAAGTTGGTGTAACATCTGAGGTATATTCAAACCTTGCGTATGAAATTACACTTACATATCACTTTCCATTTTTGAGCTAAATCGTTCACATAAATACACACATGCACACACTCAAGCGCGCGCGCGTACGATCGCACGCACGCACACACACACACACCATTTTGCGGGGCTTGGTTATTTGGACTCAGGGGAACTCAAAGTTTGAGACTCAAACCATGTATTTCTGTTGAAATCTGAGATTCGAAAATGTTCAAGATTGCATACTTCCCTTACTATGTATTCCATATATCGGTGAGTGAAAGTAAAAATCTTAAGAAAATGAGAATAAATTAAAAATTCGTAACAATATATGCAGATAAGGAAATACAGATAAAGTGATAAGGAAATAGAATAAAGTGGATGGCTGATTCATATAATCAATTATTTGGTTAAGTTAATCAAATCACTTAAGTGAGTCAAATAATTGATTATATGAATCAACCATCTACTTTATTCTATTTCCTTATCACTTTATCTGTATTTCCTTATCTGCATATATTGCTACTTATTTTTTATTTACTCTATTATTGTTGCTTTGTTTATAGTTGAATGCTCTTAATACTTTTTCTTTACTCGGTTAATAATTTTTTTTTTATATTAACAAATTGTAACACTTACAACAGAAGCGGATTCGGATTGAATTTTGGACGAGAGGGACTTCAGCCCAAATGAAATGATGTCAAGGTGGTTCTTAAGGACTTATTGTAAAGTAATTACACGAAGAATAATAGTTTTAGAGATAACGTTTTTATTTTTGTTTCTCAAAAAACATGATTGTGCTTTGTAGCCATATGCATTATATGCATTCTAATTTTAAAAATAGAACATATTGTGGTTGGTTAAGAATTTAGCTTAGGCCACTCTCAATAACAAATAAGGATCATTGAAGAACAGTTTTCTATTTGGAGGAGAGAGAAAAGGAAAGAAAATGCCTTCAGACCGAAAGCTCCCTTCCCTGTAAATCCGCTGTGTCCTACAGTGATATATATATATATATATATTTTTTAATAGTGGTTAAATAGTTGACTATCGTGAATAATGAAGAGAAGAATAGTTGGCGTGATCAGTCAAATAAGAAGGCAAAAATAAATGATAATATTTATTTTGTAATTTGCCGACGTATTGTCATTGCTTCGATTTACTTCAAGCAGTCAGCCCTGATGATGGCCTGAAATTCAGGTCGAAACGTCGGCAAATGACAAAATAAATATTATCATTTATTTTTGCCTTCTTATTTGACTGATCACCCCAACTGTTCTTCTCTTCATTATATATATTTTTGTATCTTGTTTTTTTTTTTGGAAACCTGATGAAGACCTGATAGTTGGGTCGAAACGTTGGCTTAATAGATAATTTCCCTCATTTTAAGTTATTTTATGACCGCCACCCGGACCATCTCGTTCTTCAATAATCAAAAAGCTATTTAACTTACCCAAATTAACGCATAAAACCACCTAAATGCTAGTCTGCCAATAATTCGCATCGTATATATTGAATAAAAATAATTTAACATGTAGCTACGGTTACGGTCACTGTCAGATATAACGATTATTTTCGTTTGTATCTATCTTTACATCTATCCAACTCCCATTCAAATATTTAAAAAAATGAGCATTTTAGTGACTTCGTAAGATAGGCAAAATTCGAAACAATCCCGGCCAAAATCGAGACGATTTTCGGAACCCGGGGACCGTAACCGCAGCTAACGTGTTGATATAGAATTTTGTTTTTCTATTGGCATTATAGACCAAGTAGATATTTTTCTGCCTTAACAAGCCTGCTCCATCTCTGCCTGTCTTGGGCTATTTCTATCCATTTATCTGCACACAGTTTTATTGCATATTTGTTGATTCTATCTATCCATCTGCTTTTTGATCTTCCACGTTGTCTTTTGCCCTCTATTGAGGCATTCATAGTTACGGAGAAGCTTCCAATACGAGCTACATGCCCCACCTATCTTAACCTCCTTGCCTTCATATCATTGGATACTGATTGATCACTTTCTGTAAGAAGTTCTTCTTTGGTCTTTCTTCTCCTTGTGTAGAACTCTGATCCCAGATCGCTCCGGTTATAGTGCGGACGATTTTTCTCTTAAATCTTTCAAGACTTTTTTCTAGGCTGTTGTTTAGTGTCCAAGTCTCACATCATATTAGAACTGGCTTTATCATAGCATTGTACACCCTTAATTTGAAATTTTTTAGGATTTTAACCCCTTTGAAAGGGAGAAGAAAGCTCTGTTTGCGCTAGTCATACGCTGTTCTACTTCTGCACGGTGGTCATTCATTGAGGTTATAGGAGCAGAGATATTTGAATTTTCCTACTATCGGGACTGATTTTCCTTCTAGGCAGATCCTGTTATTGGGGTGGAATTTTTGGCTTACTATCATATATTTTGTTTTGTCTTCATTTACGTATAGGTCGATCTGTTCTGCCTCTCTTATCAGAGTCTTACCGAGTTTCTCAATGTCCACTTGATTACTTCCAAGGACAGCTTTATCATCTGAGTATCCAAGGATTTTATGGTTCATTCAGACGTGGACCCCTCCTGTGATGTTGTTACCTTCCCCAGGGCTAAGTTGAACAACATCGGTGATAGTTCACCTCCCTGCCGTAAGCCCATTTGAACTTAGAAGGCTTCAGATACTTCTTGTATTAAGAGTCTACATCCGGAGTCATTTGTACTTGCCTTTGTCAATCTCATTAACTTACCGGAAACTCCCAGTTCAGTCATCATTTTCCAAAGCCAGCTCCTGTCCACAGTCGATTACAATGGTTCATTATTGAAAATAATAGATTGAAACTTGTTTCTGCTGTATCTTTGATAATAATGGTTCGATTTCGATGTTTTTTTTTTCAAAGTATAGGGAATTTATAAACATTTTAACTTATAGTATTGTAATTAAACATAATGTATCTATGTATTTAACATAAAGTATACTTTTGTAAAATTTTTCAGTCACGCTCTAATAAAAACTTCTTTTCTTCTAGACCTTTTCCCAACTGCTTTTTCTGGGAGTTGGGATTATTTTTCGGAACTGTAGAAGATAATTTTCAAAATGATAATACAATCATTCAATTTGATGATCGACGATATTGTGCATTGACAAAAATAATATGTCATGATCAATACCAAACTCATATTTATAAAAAAATACTTTGAAACAGTTTATATATATAAAGACAAAACTAGCTTTTCTAAACTATTTCGGTATAAATCTTCGCGTTTCGAAGTAATAAAACCCTTATTAAACAGGAAAAGTAATAGCATACATTTTTATTTTGTGTAAAAAGTACAACAAATTTTCTTTCCACGAAATATTTTTTTCAAAACACATTTAAAATTTAAAAAAAATCAATTAAATCTCTTTGGTATAATTAAATTAAAATCGTATAGAAGTATTAAACGGCCGAACCTGTTGAGATAGAGCATTGACATTCTCGAATTAGAAACGGGGAGCAGTGGCCTATATTTGAAGAAATTATTTCAGTATTTCGAGCGCAAATCATTCCGAGTAGTATGAACCATTGAAATTAATTATCGAGACTATCGTTTGCTAAAAAATATGTAACATACCCTTTAGCAGCAAGATTGAATCGGATTTTATTCAATAAATCGCTTGCGTTTTAAGCCCAAATCGTTTCAAAACACTCGCGGCAACTCATCAAATTATTCGAGACATTCAACATATAAATCGATCCAGCCGTTCTCTCAAAAAATCGTTACTTACCTTTTAGCGGACAAAACCAACATATAATTCAATATAAAAATATATTTTTTCATATGTCTATTTTAGGCCAAAGGTCACCAAAAAAACACTGTTTTTTTATCTCCTGTATGCTTTATTCAACGTTTTGGCTTCAGGAGTCATCCAGGCCGAAACGACTGTGTTTTTTTGGTAACCTTTGGCCTAAAATAGACATATGAAAAATTATGAGAAAATGGCACCAAACCCGAAGGATGTGACTAGAAAATATAAAAATATAGTTTTAAACATAATTACCAGATGCAGGATATAATATATCCGGTGAGGTTCCGACTTGATAATATTCTCCTCCAGCCATTACCATAGATTCAGCGGCGCGATCTGCCGTTTCTTTAAGTTCCTCGTAATCCGAGGGTTTCACCGAGTCGTAAGAATATGGCAGTAGTAACAGTTGACTGTAGCTATGAACTGAGATATAAGCCTAGAATAAATAACATAATGATAATATAATATATGTAAGCCTAGAATCAATATTTATATATAAGCATAATAATTTTGAGAGTGAAATAGTGCTGTTTCCACCGTCCATAAATATAGGTATTTATTATGACCATGCTGTTTTTTTTTTTTATTACTCCAACCTATTAATTTCTTGTATACCGGGGAGGGGAGGGGAAAGGAGGAGGGTTCTAGAGATACAACAAACCCTATTAGGCGCATCCTACACTATCAGTCATGAATGACAGTCACAAAACTGACGAAGATTGGGCGGGGGGGGGAGGAGGGACTTTAATCGAGATTAACCTTACACGTATCAACCAGACTGACGCCGTTTTAGCTCAGTTGATGTTGGATAATACACGGTGAGCTAGACCCCACTACAACCCTATAAATCACTTGCGGATTTAATTTTTTTTGGTCGGAGAATTTAGCCCGAAAGCTTTTTTTTTTCATATATATATATATATATATATATATATATATATATATATATATATTTATATATATATATATATACATATATATGGGGAGTGGGGTAGCTCAGTGGTAGGGCACTGAGCTTCCAATGCAAAGGTCCGAGGTTCGAACCCCGGCTCATGGCAGAAAATTTATTTATCTGTTTCATTGGCCGTGGGGCGAACCTGGGTGATGAGACCCTCCTGGGGCACACCTAGCCTCTATAAAGTGGGTACCTTTAATTAAATAATTAATTAAGTGGGAAAACCTCGCGGTTGAGTGTGATCTCGGTCAAATCACCTCATTGCACAACCGTTGACCTACAAACAGTGCTTTCCCCAAATAGTACTGAACCCCAGACCCTTTATGGGTTGTATTGGTACAGGTTATATTATAACGATAATTGTGCTTTGGAAAAAAAGAAAGATGCTAACTACCTATATGAAATGGCGTTTAAGTGATTCTTGAAGTTCTATTAAATGTAATTACACGAACAATAATACTTAAAGAGATCATTATCTTTTTATAAATGTTTTAATATTTTTTTCCATAAAACATGGTTATATTTCAGCATTTTGGGAGGAGGGAGGGGGCTTCAGCCTAAAAGCCCCCCTTGTAGATTCTTCTGTGCTATAAATTGCATATCGTTGTGTTCCTTGTAATGATAATGATACTTGTTTTCTTTTAAGAAATTTGGATTGTCCTTTTTCGTTCCATAAATGTTTTTTTCCAATTTTTGGGAAAAAATTGTTTCTGTCACTTAGAAGAAAATTTAGCTTTGCCCTTTCCACCATTCTTTGTGCAAAGAGAATAAAGCATTTAGTATTATTATTACCTCATTATTTATGATATGGCTTCACCACAGCACAAAATAAAGGAAATGAAAAGATAAGATAATTTTTTTTTTATTAGTGACTATTCATTATATGTTGTTCAGATTAAGAATATATTTTAGTTTATAAAAGAGGTCTTAATATGACTTATTTTTTTCCGGGAAAGTAAATACAATTTAATCTACCTCTAAGAATGAGTAAACATAAAAAAAAGTGTTAAATTGCAAACTTTATATAAAACATTCAAGACGTTCATTGAAGTATTTTAGAATTAAGTTTTGGTATTTCAATTATAGTATATTTGCAGTGGAAACCTTCTTAAACATCCTCAGCAACTTATTAAAATTAAGAGAAAATATTTGTTGATAGAATAAATTTGTTGAGAATTTAGAATTATTAATGATATGGCTTCACCACAAGACCAAAAAAAAAAAAGAAATACAAATATAAAACAATTTTTTTTTATTAGTAACTATTCATTATATGTAGTTCAGATCAACTATATATTTAGTTAATAAAAAAGGTATGAATGTGATTTATTAATGATTAATTATGTATTAATTAATAGTATTATTATTAAAGAAAAATATTGTTGATAGAATAAATTTGTTGAGAAAAATGGAAAAAGAACTGACAAATATACATGACAGTTAAAAATTAATTTTTTGTGTAAATTGTATCGTTTTTTAATTTTTAAATCATTTATTGGCCATTTGACTATTTAAAAAAAAATTGGGTAATAGTTTAGATGATGCCCGCAGCCTTTTGGGGTGGGGTGGGGACGCTTATCCTCAATGATAGTTCATGGTTAGGTTACCCGCCTAGCAGTTGTTGCCCCCACTACTCTTCTCCTTTCCCCTACTTTTTGAAATTCCCGCGACTACCCACCATCCTGCACTTCAAATTAATTTTTGACAGTATCCAGTTCCTTGTTCCTCTACATACATATTTTTTTGAAAATCCTACGATTCTCCCACCATCATCATTTTCCAGTCATTAATTTCATTTGCATTTAATCTTCAACTGTTAGTTGCTATTTCATTCTGGTGTCAGATCATGCTTTTGTCCAGTTTCATTGTTAAAAGATATAAATGAAATAATAAATAGTTTAATAATGTTAAAATATATTGAAAATAAAAAAACAGCAATGTTTTACTTAAAACAACTACACAATTCTATTGATAACGACTTTGAAATGGGAGAAATACCTAATAGCTTTTATTTATCCATTATATTCCCTGTTCATAAAGTAGAGGATAAGAATGACACAATGAATTACATGGGCATCAAGTTTGAAAACCCAATAGTTAAATTATTGGCTTACTCATTAATAGCCAATAACTAGTTAAAGAATATAGGCAGCATTTAGGAAATATTATTCTATTAAAATCTTACTTATTATAATTATCTTAAATTTGCAGAAGAAAGACAATAAGGCACATGTTATACTTTGTTTGATATATTTCGCTATCTGCAAATGTATAGTTCACTACTAGGCATTATATTATAAAAATTAACAGTTTTGAGGTGCCTATAGAGCAAAAAGTGGTGGGGATTGAGGTAGCCTAACATAACTGTAACCTAAATGTAAACAATCCTGTAGAATAAGCGTCCCCACTCCACCCCAAAAGGCTGCGGGCATCATCTAAATTATTACCAAAAATAGTTTGAGATCGTTTATAAAAATATGAACTAGGGATATGAAAAACTATATATTTTGAATGAAAATCAGGAATGTACAATGTTATGAGGTCTAGTAAAGTAACCTCCCTAGTTAGGAAGGTTAGTCTATCCACTCCTTTCTTCTCCCCTCCCCTCCATTCTCGTAATATCCACGTAACGTCCATCAGTACTTCAATCATAACTTTACACGATCGATCAGAATGTCAATAGTTCCTCAGAATATCATTTCGCTGGACAGTGTAGAGCCCGTTAGGTAAAAATATGCGGTGCGGATCTTTGGACAGGCAACCTCAGAACAGCCACTGGTCAACACATTTTTTTTTCTCGTTTACCCCTTACATCGCCATTTTTGGTATACTGGAGGTTCTTCCAGAGATAGAATCGAAAGCTATTCTAACCAGAGTGGGAAAATCGAGATTCAATCCTTGGCTTCTGGTCATTGACCGATTCGAATCGGCACCGCTAGGCTCAAGAATGTTAAATCGGCGAACGCTTTAATACGTTCGTCCACTACGGATTCTACTTCTCCAGAAATAGAACTTCTTTTACAAGTACTGAGCTCAATAGGATTAAGTGGTGCTTAGGGTAGTCGGTAGGATGTGGCGAATCCACGAATCCATGACAATATATAAATAAAATATTCATAACCTCCTTCTATTGTATTCTTGAGTTCTGGTCTATTTCCGTGGTGGATACACTCTGTTGGTTTAGTCAACAACGCATTTACTGCTCTACTGCCTTGCGGCACACTACTCTTTAGGACATGCAAAAACAAGAATTTTAAAAAAGGTAATGGAAATAAATAAAACCTAATTGCACAACGAGTGCAGTGAACTAGAGTTCTCAAATTACAGGAAGGGAGTAGCGCAGTACATGCCTACACAAAGCACGTTTTTGGAGACTGAACAGTGAATACACCACGGAGCCACCACAAACTAAATTTTACCCGCTGCCCCACAGTTACTCCATCTTACGATATAAAACGAAATATATATTTAATGTTAAAGGATTTATTCTAAAATTACTGCGCTAAGATTTGGCCATCCAAAGCCAAGCCTAAAATATTCATACTTTGAGGTTTTTGATAGTCATCAAAAAGTCAGCGATTGCTAGAGATTCCGGCTCGGAGAAAGGTGCCGGGCCGACGTACACCTGCGAACATTCGTGCCTGCTCGTCCCCTTCCCGGCCCAGTAGATATCGAAGTTCCTGTTGAGATCTATTCCCTGGCAGCCAGGTCCTCTTTGAGATCTGTTCTTTCTCCATAACCTTTTCGTCGTGTGCGTGTATTCATAACCGTCGGGATTGAGAACTGGGACTATGTAAAAATCCAAATCCAGTAATTCTTTCGGCAATTTATCCCTTTTTTCGGTTAGTTTCTGGGTGACGTAAAGGACAGCTGCTGGGCTGATCCATTCTCTAGCGTGAATACCTGTAGGGACAATAAAATTCAATAATAGTCTCGAACGAAAAATTTGAATGATGTATCGTTATGGACAGCATAGGACAATATAGAATTATATTTTTACCTGCATCTATGAAAACAGCTTTCGAATCGTCCTTTCCAGACGAAATCTTGATGTACTTGAGCGGCCTGCCTTCCCAAGAAAATCCTAAGGTCCCATCACTCACAGTGTCAGGATGCATTTCGACCAGAGAGCTGAGATAATCGTGGATAACCGATAGGCGATGGTACCTATCCATGCTCAGTTTACCATCTAAAAACAAAAATGTTTATTCCAGATGTTATTTTTGGGAACGATTGAGAAATAGTTCATTAATTGCTGATTTACTTTCGACTTCCATGGATGTTGATTTATTCTATAACATGACAGCGACATACCGTAGTGGAACATCATACGTGTTCAGGAATTGCATACCGTAGAATTATCGGTTCAGAAGCTGCGCACGGAGGTAGAAAAAAGTCACAAAAAAGGCAAAGAATCTGAGAAATTTTTAATTTCGGCAACATATGTGCAAAAGAAGGAATGTTTTGTAGCATATAGGAGGCCATCCTGAGCCGATATAGATTCAAAAAAAGTTCCTGAGAACAACCTTTATCGTTGTTGTTAATTTTTTTAACCAATAAATAAAATAAATTTATGTGTAATAAGTTGTAAAAATAAAAATGAATAAGATTATTTATCGGATCTATTAAAAATTATTGAATATACATAATCATATTACTATCAAGAGAACATAAAGAGGCTCGCTGAAACTGATAAGGAATGTAGTGCAAATCGGTCAACAAGTAGATTCAATTCATATATATATATATATATATATATATATATATATATGAACCTGGAAACAAACCTGGAAACAATATCATAATGTCAATTTTGAGCTGCAAAATTCATTTGAATTTCTCTTGAAAGAGTTCCTTCCAATTTACTTGCATTTCGTTCAGTTTTCAATGACGGAGAGGATTAAATGATAATAGAAATAGAAATAGAAAATAACTTTATTCTGGGACAAAGCCCCTTTAGAATAACAAAATAGAACATAATTAAAATACTACATCTGGCCAAAATAAAACAATAATAAAAAAGAGGAAGTAAAGAAAATATTAGTTAAACAAGCTATATAAAAAAAAAATCTATATACAAAACACTTAAAATTATGATAAAACACTTAAGACTATGTACAGTAGGAAAAATTATAATTATACTCTTTTAAAAAATAAACTAATAAAAAATACATTGAGTTCTTCTTTAAAATGAGGTGTGTTTCTGCTAACAAAGAAAAAACTAAGCTGACAATATAAAATATCAGTGTCTTTAAATAATGATTAATATGTAGACTCATCATTGTCAAATGCTATGTCAAATATCAGGTATTAATTTTTTTATCTGAAGGTAAGTTTTTATCTTGGCCCGATTTTTTAATAGCTTTTTCCAATGAATTTGTCAGGTGATTAATAAAACTACAGGTGATTTTTGTATTCGTTATTAGGACCGCTTTTAAAGAACATTTTTAAATCAGTATTAACTCAGCACACCTTGGCGTTAGGCGCATACTCATCCAATGTAATTACAAAGTTCCAGTAATTCCTGTATAGAAATAACTTATTTACGAACTTATTCGACTCATTTTAACAAATTTCACAGAAAGAAATCTTTTTTGAACTATATCAATCTAATAAGAAATCTAAATTATATATCCTGATTTATAATTAGTTGAAAAATGATTGTAGTAGTCACACATTATTTATTTATACGTCGTTGAAAACCATGGAAACCCGTATATTTATTCGTACTCAAAGATATGTTGTACTTATGTTAAGTATGTGGCAAAAAGGACAACGATAGGTCCACTTGCCTGATCAGTTACCCTCAGTACCAGTATGTTAAGTACTTTTTTTTCTTAAAAGTGTATTATCATAATTTTTTACTACAGTACATGATTAGAGTGTTTTGTATATAGGTTTATTTGTTTTGTATACAGCTTGTTTAACTAATTATTTTTTTACTTTTTCTTTTTTGTTATTGATTTACATAGGCCAGATGTAGTATTTTAATTTTGTACTATTTTGTTATTCAAAAGGAAGTTTGTCCCAGGATAAAGTTATTTTCTATTTCTATTTCTAAGTATATATAATGTGTTCTTTTTATTCATTTATTTTTAGATTATTTTATTGTTATTTATTGTATATATATATTATTTTTCTGTATGATTTATTTTATTTACTGTACATAGAGTGTGAATGTGATCTGTGAACACTATTATAAATGTCCTTGAGACAGATTGTAATATTTTTCAATAAATAAGCTTAAAAAAATAAAAAAAGTACATATCATAACAAAAACCAAGAAAAAATGCATTATCAAAATACTCTGAAAATAGTTTTTTTTCGGAGCACACAGATCAATGTACGACCTCTCGTTTTGAATTTGATAAGAATGAGTTGAAATTTATCTCGTGATGGATCTATGGAATAAATCTCGAACTTCTTCTTTTCTTATCTTACCTTCCTCACCTTTTAGGCTGTACGGGGGTTTTCCCGGTCCAGAAGAGAGGGCGGGTGAATTATGCCGAAGTTAAAAGTTCTCCCGACACCGGGATAAACTTCGGTTTATCACAGGTTGCTCTGGGCAACGCATTTTTTGCAATCGCTCGTTTGCTCGCTCGGGTTCCAACAAATCTCGACCATTCTCACTCTAGAAAAAATAGGTTGGGTGGTTGGTTGTTATCTGAAAATTCTGAATTTTCACCGCATTTAGGCAGCAAGTGTTGTATCAAAGTTAAAAAGCAACAACGGTTGTTGAAATTACAGAAGTCACCTACAATTTTCCAATTTAAAGTTTATTAGGACATCAGGGTGTGAGAATCCGCATTTGAGCAGGACTATATCGGACAACCTCCTATATGCTTCTTACATTTAGGTCTTCTCCTGTAATGTCTCATCGATTGCTTTGTGTTTAATAAAGTAATAAAATTAAGGCAAAGTGCACGACTCTTCAGAATATAACTATAACATTTATTTATTTAGTTAATAATGCCCCCCTCCTCTAAAAAAAAAATCAAATAATTTCAGAACATGGTTTTGGTACAGGGTACATACAACTAGTGATAATTGCAAATATTATCTTAACGACCCATATATGACTCATGTCTTATTTATAGCTTAGCAAATAAGATAGAAGGCACTATCTTTGGTTTAGAAAATCATGATATGCATATTGTAGAATCTTTGAGCATGATGTATGTTTTAAAAATAAATTAATGTCCTCTCTGAACACTATTATAAATGCCCTTAATTGTGACAGATTGTGATATTTATCAATAAATAAGTTTTATAAAAAAATAAAAATGAAAGACACAATTGATTTCAATTACTTCGAGTCTGTGAAAATTTTCCAAGAATGAACTAATCCTGTATTAAAAGGAAAATATCGGTCAAATTATTATTTGAATTTAGAATTCCATTGTGTAAAATAATTATTTATTTCCTTAAGCTCTTCAAGACAGATGCACTTTTTTACTAAATAGCTCAAGTGTAAAAACTTTAAGTGCATTTTTCACTTCCATTAGGGTTTTATGTTAATTGTATTGGCAGCATAATTTTTTTTTATCATTATTGAAATTTACAACTGTATTAAATGATTAATACAAGTAAATATGAAACAAGTAACATGACATGTACATAGGTATCTGGATTGAGCTAAATCGGAAACATATGGTACATTAAGGTCGTTATGGATAATTTTATTTGTGACAAAGTAGGGAGCATTGATGATTTTACGAAGGATTTTGGATTGTAGAGATTGGATTCGAGATAAATTTGATGGTTTAATAGAGCCCCAAAGCTCGATTCCTAGTCCAAATAGGCCTTATATAGTAATATATATGAGTCTTTTGTAAATAGTTGGAAGTTTAGAGCATTTGTCTAGTAAGTGATGCAGTAGTCGAAAACGGCGGGCTGTTTCTAGTCGTTTCAGTCTGATATGGGGGTAGCATACTTTTAAATAAATGAATTATAGAATAAAAAAATCAATGATCAATGTGATTGCCAATATTATATTTTAATAATAAAAACAAAAGTAATTAATATAAATTCATTTTTCCTATGCACATACAGTAAAATAATGCAACTATATAAATAAGTATAATTTAATAATAATGAAATTCATTTATGTAAATAATCTAAATTTACGTTAGTGAAGTATTCTTAGAGTGGTATATTGCGTTTTAACCAGATTCAGAAAAACCTATAATACCAATAGGAAGCTTGTTTGTGAATCTCAGCACATTACGGCACCTAAGGAAATATTGGTATTACTGCAAGAAGCAAACCTTTTCATAGTATCCGACAGAGTCTGATGTTATGCCAAGGCCTATACCAACACAAACCATTAGCAATCGCCTGTGAGAAGTTGGTCTAACATCTTATGTTGCTTTGAAACGGCCTAGAGCAACAACGCGTCGCCAGCAACTTCGCAAATCATGGTGCAGCGAGCGCCTAGGCGGGGATTCAAATTGGAATGCAATCTTAAGCGTCGAAGAGTTTACCGAGAACAGGAAATGGGTACACTGCCACAGTTAGTGCTTCCTTTAATGCAGTATAGAGGTGCAATATACTCAGAAGGACTGTGCAATATACTCTACTTCATATTGTGTAAAGTAATCTCATAGCAGCTTGTTATGCTCAATAGAGAGGAGTACATTCCTGAAACTAGGGCCATAATTGGCACAGATTTCCATTTTCTTGACGACTATAAGCCTCATAGGAGACAAGGTGATCATCAATGACTTAAGATTCTGAATATTTTACATGAACCCCTTCTCATATTGTCTCCACATTTCAATTCCATTGAGCGCATGTGGAATGCACTGCAGAGAAGGCTTTCTAACCACCCTTTGCAGCTTCTTAACCTTTAGCAACTGAGAGCCGTATCACCAAGTTTATAGCATGAAATCAGTGACAACATTTTTAACAAAATTAAATTGCAAAAATTATTACAATTTACAAAATATTTAAAATTCACAACCACAAAAAAACAAGATTTCATAAACCTTTATTTTTTAAAAAAACATATAAAATTGCCCGAGGTCAAATAGAATTTTATTTATATTAATTTTCAATGAATTTTACGATAAAAAGAATATACAAATTCTAGGGAAAATAAATCATACATAACTGACAATATCCCTATTAATTTTTTAGCAGTATAGAAAAAAAAAATCTGAACCACTGCAACACCTGAAGAGTCTTGGGTTCAGTGCTATTTAGGGAAACTACTGTTTCAAGGCCAACAATTGTGCAGGGAAGAGTTCGGGCCAGGATCACGCTCAACCGCCACGTTTTCTTCCTTAATTAATTATTTTTATTAAGAGTACTCTCTTTGCAGTGGGTGGGTGTGCCCCAGGAGAGTCTCCTGGCCCCTCATCATCATTATAGTATTAAATAATTAGCAGAAATCTATTATATACTGTAGAATATTAGTTTTTTATTTATTGAAATTTTCAACTGTATTAAATAAATACAACTAGTAAATGTGAACAAATAAAAAATAATGACATGGACAGAATTATGAAGATACTATCCAATGGTAGAACTCTCTAAATAGTTCTAAGCAAGAATACCACGAGGCCTCCTTTTCAGATTCCTAGAAGGTTTATCAGGAATCGAGGATGAAGCAAGGCTGGAAACAAGTGGGTTCGGATGTGTCTGGATATTATCATTACATGATATGTAACTTGATCGAGCCAAATCAGCGACAAATGGAGTATTATGGCCTTATGAATGATTTTATTTGTGACAAAATATGAAGCATCAAGGATTTTACGAAGATTTTGGATATGGTAGGTATTCCTTGGTTTAGCAAAGCCACAAAGCTCAAATCCGTGTACACATAAAGACCTTATTGTAGCCATGTTAGTTAGGTTTTTATAATTAATTGGAAGTTTTTAGCTTTTGTGTAGTAAGTGTTACTGCAGCCTGATAGTATAGTTTGATTAGTTACCATCTATATAGGATAGCTAACTGAACAAACAAAAATAATAATAAATCTATGTAAACTCAGTTTCTATCTAAGTAGTGGTGGATAATGCCAAGGGAGTTGTTTCAACGATTAAAAAAACAACATACAAAATATAATTGTGGATAGATAGTTGAATGTAGTGAATAATTGAAGAGAAGAATTTAAAATTATTATATTTAAAAAAATATATTTTGTACGAAGAGAAGAACGGTTGGGATGATCAGTAAAAAAAAAAATAAAAAAATAAATAAATAAGTATATTTATTTTTATTTTTGCCGACGTTTCGGCATAAAGTTCATGACTTCACAAGGGCTCAGAAAAAAACAGATATCAATAAGTATGAGGCACTGTAAACATTAAATAATAAAAAAAAAATTAATAAGTAGTTGAAAAGTATAGTCTAGAAATGTAGGTAGAATAAACTTAAAATAAAATAAATAATAACGGAAACAAAGTACGGACTAATGAAATGAACATAATCAAAATAAGGTAACATGAGAAATGAAAAATGAATTACCAACGAAAAGTAATGGAATGTATGAGGGGTGTCGTCGGTGTGGTCGAATGGGCTAAAGCGTGTGCACATCACCGCGAGTTGCCTGGCTACCGGATAACAGATTTGAGAGATTAAAAAGTATGAGTTCGCGTCCCGGTGTGGGAGGGGATTTTTTAAATTTCCCGCTCTCACTCCCCGGCCCGGGAATATCTCGTATAGTCTAAAAAGGCGAGGAGGGAAGAACAGGAAAACAAAATAAATATATAAGAAAATAATATATGAGATAAAAAAACATAAGTTTAGAGAAAAAATAAATGAGGTGATATAGTCAAATATGATGTAATAGTATGCTAAAAGGACATGAAATAATCATATAATAAAATGTAAAACTGAGAAAATCATACAATAAAATCAAGATCAAGATAATGTAAAACAGAGAAAAGGAATATGAAATATGAAGTTATATAAGAAAATATTAGCTGTAAATAGAAAATTGGGATACTGTAAAATCTATAAAAATACTTAGTCAGTATGTCATTAGTTCTTACCTTGTTGCCGTTATTATTTATCTCACAGTTCTCTGTTTCTGTTATTATTCTACCTACTTTATTTTACTTTAAGTGTATCCTACCTACATTTTTAGACTGTACCATTCATCCACTTATTATTTTTAATATTATTTACTGTTTATAGTTTCTCATACCTATTGTTATCTGTTTTTTTCTTAGCCCTGATGAAGGCCTGAACCTTTTCCGAAACGTCGGCAAAAATAAAAATACTTATTTTTTTACTGATCATCCCAACCATTCTTCTCTTCGTACAAAATACATTTTTTTAAATATAATAATTTATGAGTTTTTAATTTTATAATAAAATGAGTTTAATCAATGCAACAATAAATCGTCTAACTTACCGTCGTCGAATAAGTAGTCGTTTTTGTATACCAGCTCTTTGTCTAGGTCGATGGCTTGCTGTACATCGTCTAACATAATCCGGAAGGGGACTTGATTACTTTTCAAGTACTGCTTGACTGGGTGTAGCTTGCTGCTTGGAATCATTATCTGGGCATGGCTTTTGTTGTGTCCCCATAGATCCAGGACTGTAATTGCGGAAAAAAAAAATTAGCTCTTATAATATTATAAACTAGATATCATTTTATAAATGCAAAGGCAAAACAGTTCATTCTCTTTTTCTCCTAGGTTTCTCAACCGATATTACCTATTTTCTTTTTTTGTTCAGTAACTATTGAGGAGCTTTAGTGTTATCAATAAAAAAAAATTAAATGCAGTGTATATAAATAAAAATGTAAATGTTAGTTTGTTTAAAACCACTTATCTCCGAAAGTTCTTAACCTATTGCTTTGAAATTTTGATACAGCGTTGCAGTCGAATTCAGGTGTGTTTTTATGTACAATGCATATTACCATCCTGCCTTTCGTTGCGAAACGGTGTTCGAAAAACGTGAGTCCCTTTAGATGATATCGACAAAACGGCTTTAACGAGTTTAATGAGATTTGGCTAAAGATTTCTCTAGAAGCTCTTTTATTTTATGTATACACCATGCTTCCTCGAGAAGAGACAGTTAAAGTAAAGATGGAATTCGTGAATGATTCTAAAAATACAACATTTTCGGTTCATTAATCTATGAGTATTAAGCTTCCTGAAATTCCTACCAAAAAAAAATCATCGAAATCCAAAAGAATAATTATTTCAGTTTATATTTTTATGAGTGCTCTTTTATAAAAAATTATATTTGAAACATAGCTATAGCACAATGTTAAAATGAAACAATTTGTAGCGAACAAAGGCGTGGATTTAAATATTTTTTCGAGGATAAACCAAATTGAGATTGGTATTTCGCACCTCCAGAATTTTCATAGCAATCGAAAAATTTTATTTTTTTTATTTTTATTTATTGATGATATTTACAACTGTATTACAAGTAAAAATACATTCAGTAAATGTGAACAAAAGAATATAAAAGCATGAAATCATTTGTTGAGAAACTACCCACTGGTAGCACTCTAAAAATGTATTTACAAAAGGAGATCTCGAGGCCATCTTCTTTTCAGACGCCTCGGAGGGTTGTAAGGGATCGAAAAGGAAGCAAGGTTAGAAACGAGAGGGTCGGAATGATTCTGAAGTTTATTATGGAAGGATAGGTATCTGGATTGGGCCAGGTCAGAAACATACGGAACATTAAGGTCGTTATGGATGATTTTGTTTGTGACGAAGTAAGGAGCTGTGAGGATTTATCCAAAAATTAAAATAAAAAGTACATAAATGGTACTCCACTGATTTGTTTTGTTAGTACATATAAAAATGATTGTACAAATAGAAATGATTATAAAATAAATACTGGAAACATAAAATTCATTTATGATTTCTGAAATATTCAATAATGATTACGGTTGATATTTGTCCACTTGGCCAACATCAATAATTTTTATTATTCGAATCAAACTGAGCATACAATTTTCATTTGCTGACATTACATAAGACTTCTAGAAGTAAAGGGGTATGAATGGCTAAAGCCATATTTTGGGTAAAGGATTTATTTATTGATTTATCGATTTATTTATTTATTGTGTAAATTATGGTAAAAGTTAAACTTCTCTTGTAATCACGATGACCTTAAGTTTTTTCATTATTTCCAAAGCAACTTTTACAGTTGAAACAGATTCTTTGCCACATTTGAAAATTTCTTAAATTATTTTTAGAATTTCTTCAATATTGAGATTCATTGTTGGGTTATCGGGGACGCTTTTTATGAAAATACTGACGATTAAAATATTACACGTTCGGTAAAGTAGTATGTTCATCCAATAATGAACCTGATTACGAATAACTCTAATATGTTAAAATAAATTGATGCATGTCCGTTCTATCATACATCGTTATAACGATAATATTTCCAATAACTAGGCATCATTTTATGATCTCAGAGGAGAAATAAAAAGTAATTATGGGATTATTAATTATTCAATATATATTTATTGGTATTAAATAAATGTTTTATATGTAATAACAAACAAAGTAGTGCTAATAATTGTATTTTTCCACAAATAATCAATAAATTAGTCATGATTAAAAAAAAAAGAAGTAAACTGAAATTTTGCCAGACTCGTCTTTCACTTTTTTTTTTTTTTCAAAAAATGTTCTGATACCCCTTTACTTTCGGACCTAACGCTCTTATAATTTTTCATTGGTACATGTTTGTGATTGATAAAAGCAAAATACTTAAAAAATCATAATATATTCTCTTTTTGAATTATAATGAATATCATAATGATGTAGAGATGGTTGACCGTTGATATAATATGAGAAGGAGTTAGTCGAGGATGCGGTCAAATAAATAAAAAAATTAAAATATATAAATTATTTTAATTTTTGCCGACGTTTCGACCCACTTTGCAGGTCGTCTTCAGGGCTACAAAAGATACAAAACATGTTGAAAATAAAAAATAAATATAAGTATATATAAAATACGAAGAAGTTGTCAGATACAGAAATAAAAGATGGTATCAGAGATATAGTATATCTGTATCTGACAACTTCTTCGTATTTTATATATACTTATATTTATTTTTTATTTTCAACATGTTTTGTATCTTTTGTAGCCCTGAAAACGACCTGCAAAGTGGGCCGAAACGTCGGCAAAAATTAAAATAATTTATATATTTTAATTTTTTTATTTATTTGACCGCACCCTCGACTAACTCCTTCTCATATAATGAATATCTTGCTACTAAATGTAAGCATCTGTGTAGAAAAAATTATCTCTAAAAGCATTATTTCACCTATAAAACCTTTTTTTTTCCAGGACCACTAAAACATCATTTCATTTAACATAAATGACAACAAATAAACAGCATTTCATTGGTTTATTTTTCTTCCAATATAATTAACATTATTAAAAAACAGCAAATAAACAAATAAAAGCGGGATTAATAATACGAAATATAAATTTAAAATAATAGCTAATTATAAAGAGGATGGAGTGCTGAACAATTTCCTTGCTTACAGTACGCAGGTCTGTTTTTAATTTCTGATATATTTTAATCTATATCTTGAATAAAAATCGTTATTATTTGGATTTCAACACTATTTTTCCCTTTTCGCCTCTCTAACACGGCGTCGCGTTAAGATACAATTTTGAATAATAACTCATTTCAAAGAGGACGAAATGATGAACATTTCCCTCGCAGACAGTATGCTGGTCCAATTTTCGTTTTTGAGATATTTTACTCCATACTCAAAAAAACTTCAATTAGTCGATTCCAGCCGACTTTACCCGAGCGTTACACATCGGAGTTCTGACGGCTCAATCTAATTCACTCTCCACCAAACAATTCAAAACGCGCCTAAAGAAATTTTGACTTCGAAAATCTCCCTTTCCCCAAAATAAAATCATGGATGCACTACTGTCCCTTTCTCTCAAATAAGAAGTGTGATAAGAATCCAGCAATGTTTCAAATAATTAATAGCTAAAAACTGTTATGTAAGTTAATTAAACAATGATAAAAAAATGACTTACAGTACTTTTCCACGAGGTACTTGATGGTGTCTGGATTATTATTTGTGACTTGCAACAGTTGAGCTCCTTCATATCCCGCCGGATCTGTGTAGTTTGAGCTGACGAGATCGAAATTAACTGCAACGATTACTAAACCGAAAGTTTTTATGATGACAGTAAGCCGATTCATTTCACTTCCTAATGCTTTCGAAAAGTTAGTGACATAACACAAAAAAGCAGGTTTGAGTATATCCGCAGGATGTATATGTTAAGACACTAAACAGCAAGATGTCGCTGTACTAGGCGCTCCCTGCTTGTTCACGGTTGCTTGTCATAATGCTGGCCACAGCTCCGTTACGGATCATTTCCAGTGGGGCAATGTGTCCAGCATGATCTTAGGAAATCTAGAAACGTTTCGAAGCAGATTGCGTTCTATGAGTAACCTCACTTCAATTATCTAGGCCGAAATATTATCTTTTCTCTTGTTAGGGACCGACGATTCGCTTTTCATATGAAAAAATCAGGACATCCCATGCTCTTTATAACCTCGAGCCGGCTATGTTTGTATAAATGCAGGCTTATCTATTGTCCGTTTGTGGCTTCAATTTCAGTTGTCTTTCAAAGTACGTTTCGTTGATGACTGACTAAAAAAAATCTGGTGCGCGGAACACATAATTTCCACTAACCGCTCTAGTTTGAATAAAAATTATTTCATGAAAATGTTTGGCTATGATAAAATTTGAGAAATTTGTGAAATATGTATAACCGTTAAATATAAAATGGTACTTCCGGTTAGCCGATTTTAAGCAAAAAGTTGCTGTAACATCCCATTCATATACCTATCTTAAATACCTAATATCAATTTCGTACGACATTTCGTTTTTGAGCTTGACTGTTTACACACACAGACACACAAAACATTTTGCGGAACTTGGTTATTTGGACTCAGGAGACCTCAAAACATGCATTTCCATTGAAAACTCAGATTCAAAAATTTTCACGATCGCAATACTTCTCCTGACTATATATTTCATCTATAGGTTAGTGAAAGTAAAAAAAAAACAAAAAAAACAAAAACAAAATAAAAGCATACTTTCAGTGAAAATAATAAAAAAAAACCGAAGGAATTTCTTATTATAGCTTCGTGATTTCTCAACCAACTATGAGCTTAAATTATCATTCATTTAAATACATATTTTACAATTTAAATAAAAATATAGTTGTTTTCCTGTACATTCATTAATTATTCTTTTTCGCAGTCGGTGTCAGCCATTGGATGTTTGTCTTAATCAAATAGGAACTCATTAAAAAAACTTAAAATAGTGGGAACTATTTATTGAGTTTCGTACGACTTTTCCTTTTTGAGTTGGACTGTTCATACACACACACACATATAAACCATTTTGTAGGGCTTGATTATTTGTACTCAGGAGATCTCAAAACCTACATTTTCGTCGAAAACTTGGATTCGAAAATGTTCACGATCACAATACTTTCTCTTACTAGATATTACATATACAGATAAGTGAAAGTAAAAAACAAAAAACTTATGGGACATATTTCTATGGTGAATTCGGCGTTAGAGAACTCTTGTAATATCATAATTCATATCGACCTAACATATAATTTTTTTTATGAACGATTTTAATGTAACGAACC